TTTTTGTATTTTTAGTAGAGACGGGGTTTCACCATGTTGGCCAGGCTAGTCTTGAACTCTTTACCCTAAGTGATCTGCCTGCCCTGGCCTCCCAAAGTGCTGGGATTACAGGTGTGAGCCACTGTACCTGGCCTTAGGATATTTTCTTTTTTTAGAGACAGGGTCTGGCTAAGTTGCCCAGGCTGGAGTGCAGTGGCTAATGGAAGGCTCCATACTGCTAGTGACCATCACAGTTCACTCCCCCTTAGGCAATCTGGTAGTTCCCTGCTCCTGAGAAGTCACCATATTGATACCAAACTCAGTGTGAACACCTGTTTGGCATACAGCATTAACACCCTGAACTTCTGGGCTCAAGCAATCCTCCTGCCTCCGCCTCCTGAGTAGCTGGGACTACAGACACAAGCCACCATGCTCAGCAGTATTTTCAGCCTACCATGGGTTTATCAGGACATAGTCCCATCATAAATGGAGGCGTATCTGTATCACTGGGTAGAGTTGTTTTGTTTTTGTTTTGAGACAGGGTCTCACTCTTGCCCAGGCTGGAGTGTAGTGGCATGATCACGCCTCACTTCAACCTCCACTCCTGGGCTCAAATGATCCTCCCACCTCAGCCCTCCCAAAGTTGTTCTTCTTTTCCCCACTGAATACCTCTTATCTAAAAGCAGGGCCTCCCAAAAGAATTCAGCTGTCCTCAATATCCTTTCCGGGAGTTTTGCAACAGGGAAGACTGAAAAGTCAGCACAATGTTAAGAAATCACCTAGGCTGGGAGGGGCAGCTCACACCTGTAATCCCAGCACTTTGGGAGGCTGAGGCAGGTGGATCACCTGAGGTCACGAGTTTGATACCAGCCTGGCCAACGTGGTGAAACCCCGTCTCTGCTAAAAATACAAAATTAGCCAGGCATGGTGGCAGATACCTGTAGTCCCAGCTACCTGAGAGGCTGAGGCAGGAGAATCACTGGAACCCGGGAGGCAGAGGTTGCAGTGAGTGGAGATGGCGCCACTGCACTCCAGCCTGGGGGACAGAGCAGACTCCATGGGGGCAGGTGGGGGGGAGAATAAATCACCTCAACAGACATCGTAACAAAAATTAGGCCGGGCATGGTGGCTCACGCCTGTAATCCAAGCACTTTGGAGACCAAGGCGGGTGGATCACCTGAGGTTGGGAGTTCAGGACCAGCCTGACCAACATGGTGAAACCTCGTCTTAAAAAAATAATAATTAAAAAAAAGAAGAAAATACAAAAATTTGGGGGAGGTCAGAAAAAAAAATTAGCCGGGTGTAGTGCCATGTGCCTGAAATCCCTGCTACTCGGGAGGCTGAGGCAAGAGAATTGCTTGAACCCAGGAGGCGGAGGTTGCAGTGAGCTGAGATCGCACCACTGCACTCCAGCCTGGGCGACAGAGCAGGACTTCGTCTCAAGAAAAAGGTGAGGGGGTTGGAAGCGAGGGGAGGAAAAAAAAAGATAATATACAACCCCAAATTCTTTTTTTTTAATTACTTTTTTTCCTATGGCATTCAGTAGTATATAACCCCAAATTCTAACTGCCTCTTTGAGTCACATTTTGCTGCAAATTCCTGCCTGCAAACATGTCTCCTGTTTCCCTCTTGTCAGCTTCATTTGCAGGCTCCAGAACGCTGAACCTAAGAATCCACCACGGTCTGCAGTACAGTCCCCAGCTCTGTGGGCCAGAGGGAATCCCTTTCTGAAGGACCAACTCACACTAACCAAACTCATCATGCACCGAGGAATACACAGAGATAATGGCGCTCTAACACCTGGACTTAGGGACACCACAGATAAAATCCTCCACCCGGAGACCAAGTGACCTCAGACCCTATTGATCAAAAATCCACCATCTAATCATTTCGGTGGTTAAAGCATCAGAGTCCTATGAAGTCCCTTTGAAATGCAAATCCACCACAAAGGAATACAGAACTACTCAACTCAGTATCCCTAGAATTTTGGAGGTGAGTAAGAGAATCCTAAAAGTATCCTGAAATTTCTAATGATGTCTTGGTATTCCTGTTTCTGTGGAAAGATGTTATTTCAATGGACTGCTTGGAAATGATCTGAGAAAAATAAAGAGAAAAAATTGAGGTTGCTACTTCTACGTAGATAAGGAACAATTTCCAAAGCATAGGTTGCTAAGTAAAAAAGCAAATGCAGCCAGGCGCAGTGACTCACGCCTGTAATCCCAGCACTTTGGGAGGCGGAGGCAGGCAGACCACGAGGTCAGGAGTTTGAGACCAGCCTGGCCAACATGGTGAAACCCCATCTCTACTAAAGATACCAAAAAAACGTGGTGGTAAGCACCTGTAATCCTAGCTACCCAGGAGGCTAAGGGAGGAGAATCACTTGAACCTGGGAGTCGGAGGTTGCAGTGAGCTGAGATTTCGCCATTGCACTCCAGCCTGGGCAACAGGGCATCTAA